TTCTGAGTGTTTTATGTGCTGCAGAACAGGAGCCTGCTGTAAAACAGCAATTATGCTGAGTCGGGCTTGATTTTTAGTAATCTATTCCTGTTAAATCAATAAATGAAATGAAATCAAAATCCCCCCCCCTCCCCTCCATGAAAGGATAACTCCGCTCCCAAGGCAAATTTGAAAACGCCTACAATGTGGCTAGTGCCGGGAGACTCTGAGGGGCACGGCCTAAAGTGAGGGAGGGTCAGCGAGGAGGTGTGGCCAGGAGGAGAGAAAGTTTGTTTTAAGAGGAGACAACGTGACAGCTAGCTTTAGCTTAATTTGACAAGCTAACATTCCTGAAAACATTTCTGAATGTTCTAATTAAATGACTTTGTAAAACGTAAAGTTTCATGATATAAATACACAAACTCACATTTAGCTGTTACAACATGTAATCATGTAAAGTTCATGCAAAAAACTGTTAAAATATGACTTTGGTCCAAAACAGAACAGAAAGAATATATTTTCATTTCTGTTTGGTTCACTGTTTCTATTAAAATTCACAATATAGCGCAGTGTGGACCTGACGAGTGTTCTGGCCCCGGATCATTCCGGACCCCACAGCCAACTGCCTCCCCTCCGACACACCACACTACCCTGGACAGAAGCATCAACCCACCCCAGCAGCAGAGGTGTCCGGGTGGCCGTGAAAAACCCCTCCGTTGCCGGTTCACCTGCAGCGCGAGGCATCATGAAACAAACTGAATTAACTTCTCTTTGAGGTTAAATATATATTTTAAACAAATAAAAGGTTGCTGTTTCACGTAGAGTTAAGATCAGGACTAAAAAAAATGCTACGGTGATCCGAATCCAACCGGACATATTTTAAATACCGTTTGATGTGATTCTGTTTTAATTTAATCCTCATAGCTTTAAAATGTTCCTAAGTTTATAAAGACCTCAGCATTTTTGTCTTTGTGGGGAAACTACCTGTGGATGTTCCCGGACAGAAGCATCAACCCACCCCGGGCAGCAGAGGTGTCCGGACGTCCTGATGTGAAAAACCCCTCCGCAACGGAGGCACTTGTTCTCGTTTACCTGTAGTTACAGGACCTACGGCGGAACTAGCCGCTGAGGTTCAAATCTTGAAGCACAAAGAGGATGTGTAAGTTAATTCAGTTTGTTTTATGACTGATAGACTCCATGTTTCCACTGTGGGTGAGGAGAAGGCAGCTTCTACCACAGCTACCATCAACAATGCTATGGCTAACTCCTGAATCTCTGCAGGGCGTGTCTCTACAGAGAGCCTTTTATACTGAACACTGAACACTCATTGTGAGACGTCACACAGTACAGCATGTCACAAGGTACTCTTTGAACGAATAACGAAATTCAAACGTAGTAGCCATAGTTGAACCCATAGAGAGCAATTCAAAGACGTTTTTAGACACAATATTGTACATTTAAATAGTTTTAGCCAAAAATGTTTAATTTTAGTCATAAATAGAAATGTATTACCCTTAGGGCACAGTTTAGACAGTTTATCTGCAAAAAAAGCTGATTTGGGGGTAACTTCCTCTTTAAGTCAGAACAAGATTTGCTAACCACAATCATTCTTAGATATCACTTGTGTTTATCTTTGTGTTTTCCCTTGACCCAGCATTTCCTTAAGATGAAATCTTGCTTTATTAATATGACATAATAGTGTTTGTTAAACAGTATATATGAGGCCTCAACTGCCTCAGGAGAAGCAGGAGCAGAGAGCAGGGGGACAGTCTGATGTTGTTCTCTGTGTTCCTGTTGTTGTAATAAAACTCAGCTGATCATTTCCACGCACTACCTTCATTCTTGGACCACATATTTCTGTCTTTGTTAAATAAATATTTCCATAACAAATGGTTTTGTGTGGAAACCAAAGTGTCTGAAACAGGAGAAAATAAGAGTGCAGGGGTCACGAGGGTATGTATTAGTAATCTGAATCTCTGGTTGAAAGCAGTGTTGTGAGTTTCTTTCTGCAGAACTGGTTTGTGCAGGTCTACACCTGGAGTGGGTCAAAGTTTAGAGTTCGGTCACAGATTACACCCCGGTTTACTGGAAGGCTCTTACACAGCTGGACAAAAGGTCAACACTGAGATCACATTCCAGAGTTAAACTTCTCCGTAAAGTCTTCATGGCTTTTATTACGTAGCTTCTTACACCTTAACAACCCTCAGTTTAAGGTGGACTGTACAGGTATACTCAACAAACTAAAAAAATTAAATTAATCCCAGTAAACTAGAAATGACTACATGCCATGAAATTCTTGGAGGGGTGGGCCGTTTCGTTGGTGGGGGGCACTCCCCTTGAATAATGGTAGGGGAAACGCTGAGTTTGTTACATTCTGACAATAAAGAATCATAATAGATTGTTGACATTAACTTTTAGACGTTAAAGACCAAATTTAAGAAGAGGAATTCTTCTTACTTTAATAAAATGTTAACAGTGCAAGCCTTTCTATATTTACTGAAAATAATAAATATCAAACTTTGAGATAATAAAACACAGAGTAAAACTAAAAATGAGGCCAGTTTATTAAACATTTAATAATGGTCTTTTTATTGTTTCCTAATAAAAGCAAAAACCGTTACATATTTCACCTTGTGAAATATTTTTATCAAAGAAAAACTTTGACTTTTAATTTAGCCTTTTTTGACATGTAACACATGCAGATCTACTCTTGGTGTTTTCCTCAGCAGCTTGACTCAAACAAATTCAAAATGTTTGATTTTTTGATGGATTTTGAACAAAGATCACTGTGTTACCAGAAGTTGAAAATAACGAAGCAGCTAACGGGCTAGAGAACTATTAGCACCAGATTAATCCATTTTTCTCCCTGCACCACCTGAAATATTCAGTCTGAATAAAAAGTTAGTCAGATTTTTTCATGGCTCCCTATCCTAACCCAACACATCTGCTAACCCTGACATCTGAAAGATGTCTGACAGACATTATGAAAACCAAAGGCCCTTTTAAAGGCTTAAAATAAAACAGCGTGTTAATAAAAAGTGTAACTTACAGCAATTTCCCTGCAGGCCGACATCGATATTCCAGTGCCTTCTATTTGTTTCAGTGCATACTCTTTCTCATCTTTCCTGCAGAGAAACAGAGAAAGTAGGGCCAACATTAAAACAAAGACAACATTTATTTTACCAGCAGCTGTTCTCAGACAACCGCTAACATCTCTTCGTTTGGCCTTCAGGGGATGGTATGTAAAGGCAGGGGGTGTTCTGGGAGAAGTATGGGGTAAAAAAGAGGGTCTGACAGCCATTACAACCACCCTCTGGCAGCAACAACCCTCTGCAGGATGCTGTGTTTCAGTCTCCTCACCCCTCCTGATGCATTACAGAAACTATATTCAGATCTGACCACAGTTATCTTTCTTTCTGTCTGGATAGTCATTTTACCTTATGTGACACTGAAAACCAGATAATAGGTGAACCATGAACTAACCACAGATAAGAGGAAAATGATGAGTGGGTGGTAGGGATGCACAATATATTGGCATTAAGATTGGTATCGGTCGACGGTCATTTTTTAGCAAATCGGTCCGATAAGTAAAATTGGACCGATATTAAAGGGACCCACGATTAGTTGTAACATTAAACTTTATTTGATAAATATTTATTTTAACTGTAAAATAAAGACTGTAAAAATATTGTAGGCCGTTTAGTTTTGTACATTTTTAAAAATGTATTTTAACACAGATGGAGCCATTTTATTTCCACACAAAGCATTCTGGGTAAATGATGACGTGGATAGGTCCTCGATGCGAGGCTGCTAGCGAGCTATATCCACCCTGAAGTTTAATCTTGGACAATATCTGACATAGATGGAGGACAACAGAGCTGCTTCATGGAAGAAGAACTTCAGCTTAACCTGTTAGCTTTAGTGTTAGCCCCGATGCTATCACCATATACAGCGGGTAAAATAAGTAATGAACACGTCACCATTTTTCTC